ATTCCATTCAATAACAGAATGCAAAGTATTTGAAACATTCTTCTTCAAGATATCTAATATCTAAACAGCTCACATATTTGTTTATGCTTGTAATATTAATAGTCATAAATATTAGAGTAAATAAAAATAAAAATATCTTAAGCTCACGTATTACACACTACAGAAAAAATAAAACGAATAAGTTTAAAGAATACCAAAGTAAACTATCTCAAAACACACTGCAAGTCTAAGTTTTTTAGCGCATTTACGACTAATTCCCGCAACGTCATTACCAAAATACCTCATTAATGCCTAAAAGCCAAGAACGCGCCCTCACATCACTAGTAAACCTTAAAGCTTCTTACGGTGCGTATGCTTTTGCGGGCATGCATTACATCGCTCCACACACACACAGATACTGACGATGTAGTAATGTGAGTGCGCCCAAGTGTATGCTATGCTTAATTTCTAAGACAAATTATGACAGCATTTAAGCCACGTTGCTACTTTAAATAAGTAATTCGGATGCTTGCAGAGACTATGAGTCCCTATAGGAGGTAGTACGCACTTCCTGTTTTTCGTGTGCAAGACAAAAAGATAAGCATGACTTAAGTCTTACGTACATGTATTTCTTCTGTGCTTTTGGCGATATACACACACGTGTAAATGTGTGCTGAGGCGTAAAGTCAACAATAAACTTCATCATCCCAATTTGCTTACTTATGTTGTTGACTTAAGTGAACGTTTCGAATTTTCGCGCCATAGTTTTCAATATTGTTGCACTATTGAGAAATATTAAGAATAAAATTCGCCATTCAAAGTTTAACAGCAGTAGACAGTAGTATCACTGAGTTATATATGTTATATTAATATTGTATTGTAGATTGTAGATTTTTAATAAATATATCATTTATTTCATTTCACTTATTTTTTTATTTTTATTAATGCTTAAAATCACTAATAATCGGAGGATATGCTTATGAAAACTTTTCCAATTTTTTAATGTCATTCCAGTCCAAGTCAAGTTGTGAGAGCTCTTCACGATACTGTTCCTTTAGTCACTAATACTAAAAAGAGCTACATTATCCTGGGCTATATTCAACCACTAATATTAAGAATGCTTGGCTAATATTTAGTGGAGACATCCTTAACTATATTATCTAGCACAGATTTATTCATTTGTAAACTATAGGTGAGTCATATTACACGTTTTTACTTATATTTTCTACTTTAGAATGTATACCTATGCTATTCTCATATATATCTATAATATTGTTTTTCATCCAGTTTATTTCCTGTATAGCAATTGGATCCAATTTTTACTTGTAATGCCCTATAAAATAATAAGTTCCTTCTCTACTGCCTTTTGGAAAGAGTCTTCACAAGTTATATGTTCTAAAAATTATATTCTTTAAAATAATGTCGTCATTGCTAATTATGCGAAGCACGGGGTTCTGTCTAATATAAAGTTCTTGACTTTAAAGAAACTAAATTTGAAATTTTACTAATTATATTGAAATCTATTTTCGAATTAGGTTCCTGTAATAAATCAACTTTATCAAAGAACTTTCAATAGGTCTTCACAAAAACACTTTAACTACTGCAAGGCGAGAACCAACATCTGACCTACTTTAATTTATTTTCTTTTTACAAGACTTCTTTTTAAAATTTTTCTTAACTTTTATATAAGGTAGAACTTTTGACAGATGATCTCGTAGGTCACCGCGACCTGCCATCCAATCTTAACAAAATGCACAGAACACAAAATGGTGCCATCCGAAACACAGAATGCTAACTCTGTTTGAAAATAGATAAGGTGAGATGAATCACATTCTGCATGATTGTCTGATTTTGATAGGGGTCTGAAGGAGATTACTAAGCATATAGTTTTTATTCCCATTTGATGCTATGAAATCATCAAAGGATGACATTTTAGCCTTCATTTTAAGGTTTAGTATCTTCTGATCCATTGGGATCTGTTAACAGCGCAAAAATTCAGTCATTGTTGGAGTGTTCCACTGCGATGAAATCAGTACCCCGTTGCTTCTTATTATTTATTGTAATAGTTTGTAATGCTTAGACTGTTTCCATTGAGTAAAAAATTTTCCACTTCTTTTTGTACACAGAGAAAATATATCTTAATATTGGAAATGTTTATAGACATGATTTCCATAAAAATGTTTAAAATAATAATGTTTGCTGGTGTTGGATAGTACATTTTCACATTCATGTTTTGATCATATTTATTATTTTCAGCCAATATTTTTAATCAATTTTGGAGGTTACTCATAAAACATTTTGTAACAATTTTTTTTATAGCAGTTACTTATTTTGTGTTGTATTATCTTAACAGTCAGGTTAGATGGACTGTACCCAGGTCAGCCTTGTTCCACGTAGAAATCTTCCAAGGCCATGTATCTCCTTGAGTATTGTCCTCACAGTCTAGTTAGGTGGACTTTACCCAGGTCAGCCTTGTTCTAGAAAAAATC